TCTGACTTGAGTTAATGTGTAGTACTGGTTCATAATGAAACTTACTATTAGTGAAGCATCTGTGTGTACTTGGCTGACTAGGGCTTGCTCAGGAAATTAGTTCAGATTTTCCATGGTACTAAAGTTACCATCCTTGGATGTTCGCAGACAACTCCTACCTCAGATTTGGTCAGTCAGAAACTAGAGGAGGGACCCAGCAGTCTATTTTTATAATTCTTCCAGCTCTAGTTTAGCCTGCTGCTGGGGAAAACTTGCTAGAGAGTCACTGTATAAACTAGCTTACACTTTGTCACTAAACTCAGGAATGATTCCTACAGTCTGGGGAAATTGTTTCAAAAGCACATGAAATGAAATGTTTCAAACAAGCCAAATAACCTCACACCAGCTTAACTACCTACTTTGTCTGATTATCCTTCCTTTCATTTTTTTTCCTTCGCTTCCCTTCTCTCCCTCTTTTCCTTCCTTCTTCGTCTCCTTTCCTCTCTTCTCCTCTCCTCTCCTCTCTTCTCCTCTTTCTTCCTCTTCCCTCTCTCCCTCCCTTCCCCTCCTTCCCTTCTTCTTCCTATTTTGCAATAAGTAACTTGCTATGCTGCCCATGCTGTTCTCTGATTCATGGGATCAAGCGACCCTCCTACCTCAACCTCCCAAGTACATACCTGGGGCTATAGGTATGTGCAGCCATGCCACGCTTGAGTTTTTCTGTGGCATTTTGTTTGATTTTGTTTTGTATTTGTACTGGAGATGAAACCCAAACATGCTGTACCAGTAAGCTATATTCCCAGCCCTTTTTTTTTGTTTTGTTTTTGAGAATAGGCTATTGCTAAATTGCCCAGGTTAGCCTTGAATTTAGTCCTCATGGCTCAGCTTCCTGACTAACATGGACTACAGGTATTGTTTACCATGCCTGGCTGCTTGTTTTGTTCTTTGAGACACAGGATCTCCTTGAGTTTTCCAGGCTGGTCTCAAACTCATAAACCTATGTGATCCTACCAGCTCAGCCTATCAAGTAGCTGGGACTAAAGATGTACACCTCCCTATTTTCTGACATGTATTATTCCTGAACCATGGAAGAAAGTTGCCAATTTTCTGTAGTGTTACGTAAACTTTGCATCTTCAATAAATATTCTTCCCTTGCTACAGTAATGATGATGATAATGATGGAGATGGTGGTGATAGCCAATAATTATTGAACATTTATATGTGGCAGGCCCATTCCAAGTATTTAAAGCAGTTCATCTTCTGTGTGTAAGTACAGATAATAAAACAGAGACCTTGTAGTTACGTACTGGTAAGTGTCAAAGCAGAGATTGAGATCCTTAGCGGTCTTAATTTAGAGGCTAAGCAGTTATATAGTATGCTATTCTGGTGGCTTTTTCATGTTTAACATAATTTTTACTTAACTGAATATTTATATAAGTAATACATGCTGAACTTTGGGTGTAATCCAATGGCATTTCCAAGAATGGAATTGTTGGGTGAAGGGCATAGGAATGTTTAGATGACTGTCATCATTTCCCACAAATGGCAACTTTCTAAAAATATCCAAATCTCATTGTAGCTCTTACTGCAGAGTTTTTAGTATAATGAGCTCCAGTCTTTGGTAGTTACATTTCCATCTATTTTTTTTGTCCTTATGGATATGTTTTATTTTTTAGGATCGAGGAAATAACAACAATGTGATGAGTAATTATGAGGCCTACAAGCCCTCTACAGGAGCCATGGGAGATCGCCTGACAGCAATGAAAGCAGCTTTCCAGGTTTGAAATAAGTATTTTTTTAAAAAAAAGGCTTTCTGGACAGTGTGGGAGCTGTAGTCTTCCTGAGGTGGTAACTGACACTAGACCTCATGCTAGATTTAGGGGTTTCCCTTTGTCACATTGCCTGGATTTCACATACAGACATTGCTCATTCCCCAACCGGGTTCCATCCCTGCAACTAGGTAGTTAATTGGTCACTAAATGAGGAATTGTTTATAATATGCAGAACAAAGAAATGGCCAAAGGAAACTCTTAACTTAGTAAGTTTGCTTTTATTAGCATAATTTTTATATCTAGTAAGGTGTACTGCACAAAAAAGAATTGAGATTCTATAAACAAGATACACAGAGTACAAAAAAAAAAAAAAAAAGATGGGTCATAAGTCCAAACAGCATGCCTGTCTTTAAAAAAAAAAAAACAGGTAGTGGTTAAATGGAGAATTTCTGTATAAACTTAACAGTAGCTTATCTAGAGAGACAAGTTAGAGCTAGGGAAAACCCTCATGGTGGTCATTTGTATCAGCAGCCAGAGCCTGAGACTGCTATACGGTAGGAGGGTCTGTTTCATTCCCTAGTTCCACAACCTTTGGTGTTGCCCACCTATAAGGCATAGCTGTAAAAATTTCCCTTTTTGGCTAAGACTAGTTTGATTCTGTTGTCTGTTGTGAACAGTATGTTGTTTTTGTTTTTAATTTGTTTTATTTTGAAATGTTATGTTGCCCAGGCTTGTCTCAAGGTAATGAAATCTAGTGATCCTCCCACCTCAGCCTCTTGAGTAGTTGGAAATACAGACACCATATCCAGTTTTCCTATAAACTTTGAATCTCTCTTCCAACCTGCTATTCCATTTAGCTAGTACCATCTGATTAACTAACTGGGCCTTTGTACATTTTACCTGTATCTAGACTGATTTCTAGCTTGGCCTCATAATTTTTTTGTTTTATATTAATAGAAGAACTCAGAAACTCTGTATGGGAATTAATTTTTAAATAATGTCATTTATATTGCGTATATTATTACATCAGTGCATGTAGTCACACCCTGCCAGATTCACTTCTAAACCAAAATACAATTGTAGGCATACTATGTCAATTCAGGTTAGGCTTTGTTTTTAGTTTTGCTGGGGATAAAACTCATGGCTTTCGGCATGCTAGGCAAGTGCTATACTATTGAGGTGCAGTTCCAAACTCTGAAAAGTGTTTTCACAATTTTTTAAAGTTTTGAACTGTAAGTAACAGATTGCAGACCATAAATGCTTTATACATAGAGTACTTACAGTCTACCAGGCAGTGAACTTTGGTACATTAAGATCCATCCCTATAAAAATCTTTGTTTTATAGCACAAGACCTGAAGAATCATCAGAAAGATCTCACACAAGTCACAATGCCAAGATAACAGACCTAGTTTCTGTATTCTTTATAGAATTGCCAAACTTGTATGTATAACAAGTCTTTTGAATTTGCTGCTGTACCTATTCCTGTTGCCTTTTTCTCTTTCAGTCACAGTACAAGAGTCATTTTGTTGCAGCCAGTTTAAGTAATCAAAAGGCCGGAAGTTCTGCTGCTGGGCCAAGTGGATGGACTAGTGCAGGAAGCTTGAATTCTGTTCCAACTAATTCAGCACAGCAGGGCCACAGCAGTCCTGACAGCCCTATCGCCAGTTCTGCCAAGAGCATCCCAGGCTTTGGCAGTGCTGGAAATATCAGCAATGCTCCGGTGACATACCCTTCTCTTGGCACCCAGGGAGCCAACAACACAGCTTCAGGAAATAACAGCCGAGAAGGGATTGGGGGTGGCAATGGGAAGAGAGAGAGATATACTGATAACCGGGGTGGCAGCCGTCACAGTCATGGAGAGAGTGGCATTCGGCATGGCGATAGCCCACGTCATGGAGATGGTGGTCGCCATGGAGATGGATACCGGTACCCAGAAAGCAGCAGTAGCAGCCGTCATACAGATGGCCATCGGCATGGAGAGAACAGGCATGGAGGAAGTACAGGCCGGCATGGAGAGAGCCGGGGCACAAATGATGGTCGAAATGGAGAAAGCAGGAAAGAAAGTTGTAATCGTGAAAGCAAGATGGACCCCAAGGTGGACAGCAAGATGGACAGTAAGACAGATAAGACAGCTGATGGTTTTGCTGTCCCGGAGCCACCTAAACGCAAGAAAAGTCGATGGGACAGTTAGAGGGTATGTGTTACAGCGTGAAATCAGTTCTTTAATTTTATTTTTAGAGAGATTTTGGTAACTAGGTGTCTCAGGGCTGGGTTGGGGTCCAAGGTATATGGACCCCCTGCCCTTAGTGGAGAGCTTGGAGCACAGACATTATACCTTCATGTGAATGATTGTTCAGATGCTTTCTTGGGAAGCTGCTTTGGCCCCAGCAAGCAATGTGAGCAGGGAAGCTTTTGTTAGCTCTGGGTGAGTTATCATGAGGGTAAATGGAAGACACTTTGGAGGAAAAGCGCCTTTATAGGGCACAAAACTCACTCTAGGTTTGTAAGTAGCTTATATTTTTTACTAAAATGTCACCTTATAAACATCTATGAATCAGATTTTTTCTTAACGCTCTGGCCAGGCAGTTCCCTTTTTTAGGAGTTGGCTTTTGCAAACCCAATTTATTGAGCTATTGGGGATGTTTGGAAAGTAGTTTGGTGCTTCAAGACATTTACAGGAAACGGAGATCCCCAAAATTCTAAAAAATGGTTGATGTTTGGCAGCTGGGGGTTTAACTCAGTGGCATAAGCACCTGTCTGGCAAGTGTAAGGTCCTCTGAGTTCAATCCCTGGTACCAAAAAAAGGTTGATGCTCAGGTTCTTCAGATTATATCCAGCCCTGAGACACAGAAGAGGCAACCTTCCAGACCTGGCTTGAGACCTTTTTTTCAGAGCTTATGTGATTGAAGGGAAATGACTGTGGAAGGGGTTCCAGGATTGCTTCAGGCCTGAGGTACTGGTTAAATTGAAAATTTACAAAAAAAAAAAACAGCAGCTTTTAAAGTGTCTTTTTTTTTTTTTTTTTTGTAACTTGCCCTAATAGAAGTCTTTTGCTGAAATGATTTTGATGACTTTTGTTCTATCTTGTTTATAAAAGGAAAAGAAATATACAAACTTCAAACTTTGTGACTTTGTGAAGGTTTCTTTAAGCTGTGCATTACTCTGCTTGCTCTCTAGTAAATGTTTTACTACTGGGACCCACAGATTGTTTGTCGTTTCTACCTTAAAATAGCTGATACATATTACAATTTGTAGTAGTAGAGATAATGTTTTATTCAACTAATAATGATGTAGGGTAAGGGGAGATGCAAGAGGTCCATGTCCTTACAAAATATCACATTGAACTTGATCCCTTAAGATTTTAAAGAAATCTGTTTCAGCCAGCACTCAAATGTTTTTCCTAGAATGGTAATGAACTGTCATGGCACCCTTGCTGCTTTCAAGGGAGACCATCCTGCAGACAAAAAGATGTTCTTACCATTTAGGACCACTTCCCTGGCATTTTATTAGACAGTTGTGATATAGGCAAGGGCAAGACTGGTTATCAAGGTCAGGGTTAGCTGTACCACATTTTGCCTGCTAAGTTTTACAATCTTCTTATTTCCTTTTGTGTTTTTTCTTCTGCTCCTTACGTTGCTGTGCTCTCTGATCCTTCTTCATTCTGGAATCTACCACCTTGAAATGACCTCTGACTCCAGCTGGCCGCCGCACTTTGCGGCCCACACCTTTTTTGGCTACAACATAGGTGACTTGGCGTTTCTCCTTGCCAAGCCCAGCCTTCTTGTAGAGACTATAAAAAGAAAAAAAGATTAGAGGCCTACTTTCTGCTCATCTTTTCAACCCTTTTGTGTCTTTCCCCAATTACCTTCGCAACTGTGCCACCTTCTCTCGTTCTGAGATGTCCACTGTGTTCACCACAGCTTCTGCCTTCTTCTTGGTTTGTTCCAGCTTCTTCAGCATCTAGGAGGGGACTTCAGTTAGGCAGTTCTTCACCTCTGCCCCACCTACACCTAACCTCAGAAAACCCCCACTTACCCTCCGTTTCTTTCTGGCCTTGGCCTCAGCCACTTTCTTGATGGGACGTGCATTAATTTCCTTCCAGCGTTTGCGGTAGTGCTCCACTTCCTTCTTGTCAAGAGGCAACTGTCGTATTCGATGCTGCTTCTCTTCTTGCACAAACCAGTCTGGAAGCTCACCTTCATCTTCATTAAATGCATATCTGGGCAGAGAAGACAGCAGGCCAATAACCATTCCAGGCTTCCTAAGAAGACAGCCATCTATTTAACCACATCTTCACAGCTTGTGATTTTCTGGTTCTCTTACCGGTTGAAAGAATTATCTATGAGGTCTCTTTTGGCCTTTTTGGAGGATGCAATAACAGCACCTAAAGCAAGGCCTTCAGGGTCCAGAATCCGATGTTTCACTAGGGAAAGGACAAATGTCAAACCCCAGTTCTCAATACTGAAATCCATATCCTCTCATTCCACACAAACAAGAGCTCTCACCTGGGTTCTCAATAGGTACTATCTCAAACCCATTATCATCTGACTTAGGCCCTCGGCATCGTTTCTTACCACGAGATGGTCCCCTACTATAGGAAAAAAGCAAGATTATGAACAAATAACTCTACCCTGTCTGTGTCACTCACTCTACCTCCACCCTGCTTCCTAAGTGAATTTAGAGAAGGCCTTGTCACTCAGGCCAGTTAAATCAATCATTGGTATCTTTAAAGGTCCCTATCCTTAAAGAAACGATTCATATCACTGCTTCCCCTTTTACTGTTCCCGCCCACTGTACCCACTTACCTCTCTTCATCCTCACTGCTACTGCTCTCACTGTCTGAGCTGTCACTTCCTACCCTTTCAGGGCCAGCGGTAGCTCCTGTACTTGAGGGAGCCTCTTCATTTGGGGTCTCATTCATGTTCTGGGGAAACTTTCTCTCAGTCTTCAAACTAGAAGGTGACAGTGATTTTGACAGCTCCTGCTCCTTCTGACGGCTCTTGTACAACAACTGGGCCTGACTGATCTCGAGGGCTTCATCGGCATCATCGTCAATCCAACTGAAGCCATCCTGTTGTGGGAGAACCTTCAGCTATCCTTCTCCCAGGGAATGCAAGTTTCCCGACAGTCTTACTCCAGCTTCTTACCTTTGAGAACCACAGGTTGGCTTGTTCTTCTTGCAACACTGTCTTTTCCTCTAGTGGTATCAGCAGTGGATTCTCTTCCTCCTCCTCCTCCTCCTCCTCCTCTTTATCTTCTAGTTGAGCAAATCGAACACTGGAGACACCAAGAAAAGTCAGGAAAGGCTCAGTAACCAAATGCCCAGTGGCCTTGCTCCCCACACATTTTTGGCAACATACACATCAAATTTGTCAGGAGTTGGAACTAAAGGTAGGGACACAGCTCTTATGAATCCCTTACCACTTTTGGTCTTTCAGACTCTGATGTCCCCCAACTCCTGCCAACTCTTCTGGATCCAGGTCACTGTCCAGCGATGAACCATTATCCTCCTCAGCATCTGACACATAGATGTCATCCCTTGGCAGATCAGATAGAAGTCTGTCTGCAGCATTCATGTCCCCTTGTGTTACTTCCTCTAACAACTGAGGTTTAAGAGAAACAGATTGAGTACTAAGTACTCTTAGTAAAAAATATTTCTGTATCCATTTCCTCAGCAACACTAATACACAGGCAAATAGCTATTTCCTTTTACCAATGTGACCGTGACCTAAGAGGAGACTGACCTATCTAAACATCCCATTCTAGAGAACACTTCTGTCCTGCTCATTTAAAAATCATTCTTAGGGGGTAAGGGATTTAGCTCAGTGGCACAAGCACCTGACTGGCAAGTGCAAGGTCATGAGTTTGATCCCCAGTACCAAAAAAAAAAAAAAAAAAAAAAATCATTCTTAGGACTTAAGAGGTAACTAGCTCAGTGGTAGAAAGCATGCCTTGCATTTAAGAAACCCTGAGTCCAATTCTCAGCACCAGTGCTACAAAAGGAAAAAAAAAAAAAATCACTTAGAAAAGACATCATTACCTTAGATTTTGTTTTATTAAGTTTTTTAAAGACAGGGTCTCACTGTGCAGTTCTGGCTGGCCCTGAACTCAGTCTGTAGCTCAGGCTGGTCTCAAATTTACAATGATCTTCCTTCCTCAGCCTACCAAGCGCTGGCATTACAGGTGTGTGTCACCATGCCCGGCCACCTTAGAATTTTGATCCACTGAGAAAAGGAATCCAGACAACGTCCATCTAACAGAACTGATTCACTTTAACTAAATGTCAGAACTCAAAATCTGTTTTCCTTACGGGATCAGTCACAAAAACCCTAGCAGGTAAGCTGAAAACTGCTAAGGGGCAGTTCAAAGTCACACAGCCTAAGTGGTGCAGCTAGATCTGAAGACTGACCTTATGGTCTGCTCTGACTGCTATACTGCCTTTCATGTGTGCCACAGATGACTTGATTGTGACATTCCCACACAAAAGCTACAAAAGTTCATTTTGTTTGTGACACTGCTTTCATCAAGAAAAGCATGGTCAAAGAAAAGAAAAGCATGGTCTTTAGTATTTGACAGAAGCACCACTCACCTAATTCCAAGTGCTAACTTGGTAAACTGAAGACTGTAATCCAGCTATCCTTGCTACATTTACCATAATCTCAGCTCTTGGTCCTGATGGTCTAGTTCTACAATAATCTATATCACAATCACAGAGCTTTCTGATTTCATCATTACGGGTATGTTTCTTTTATCCTTTTGAGTCATGGCTTTTATTTTTTTCCCCTTCTCCTCCTAAGTCACCCACCTGTTTCCTCAACCTTTATCACCAACCCCACCTCACCTGGTGACCTTGGATGGTACGCAGGGAGAACATGCCTGTCTCTCCCTCATCTGCAATGGAAACTCCAGGGAGATCCATCTTTAGTTCTACACGTTCCCGCTGCTTCCTCTGCTCTCGTAGTAGCTTCTTTTTCTTCCTAAAAGGATGGGTTAAGAGAATTTGAAAACCTGCCCTGCCCTGCCCTGAAGATTGCTTATCTGTACCTTTCATTCTTTTCCCCCATCTTCACACACAGCGGGTTCCCCAAGCTCTTCCCCAGCTCCCCTAACCTCTTCAATTCTGCCACCTCCTGGGCCTTCATCTCTGCCAGGGTTTGGTTTAGCTGCTCCTCTTCCTCCTCCTCTTTAGAAGGCTGCCTTGTGGTCTCAGTGGTAGACTCTTCCTCTTCATCACCTTCTTCCTCTCCTGAGCTGAGGCTAACAGTCCAAAATGTTTGGTTGTTTTTCAGATACTTGTTCCCAACACAGAGTTACACCTAACCTCATTGGTTCCCTTCTCACCTGATATCCAGTGCTTTTGCTTGCTCCTTCAGCTTCTTAGCCATATAGCGCCGAAGTTTTGTTCTCCAGTTCAGTAGGGACCTGTCCCAGAAATACTGACCTTGTCATTTCCCATCTCTCTCTCTCTCTCTCTCTCTCTTTTTTTTTTTTTGTACTGGGAATTGATCTCAGGACATGGGCTTGTCAAGCAGGCACTTAGGCCACTGAGCTATATCCCTACCCCCGCTTCTTCTATTTTAAGTCTACACTTTGTTTTGGTGTTTTGAGAAAGTCCTGCTATATAAACCACGCTGGCCTCAATGATCCTCCTGCCTCAGCTCCCAAGTGCTAGGACTACACACATGCTTTAGCATGCTGCAGCTAATCTACACTTAAGATTTCAGGCTCCAGCCATATCATAAATCCTAATGTTCAGGCCCCACCCAAACCTCTAGCACAGGAACATACTTATCCCAGGGATCTAGCATCATGACCTTTGTCCAAGGGCTTTTCTCTCCTTCAGAGCTGGCCCCTTCACTCACCCCACTACATACCTGAGTTCCTTGCGACCCAGAACTTTGATGTCCTGACAACATGCCTGTATGTCCTCAGTGGTAGCTGGATGTTGTGCCAACTCTTTATCATCTATTGAGATCTATTGGAGAGGAAAAGCAGTCAAGGGAGATTTTTAGGCTGTTTCTGGGGCTCCCTGACATCACTCCCTCAAGTCTGGGATCTCACCTCGCTAGCCTTGGAAAGGAAGTCAACAGGGTTGGCAGCCCGTAGAAAGTCAGTGACCGAGGTACGGTGATAAAGTGTCAGGTCACCCTCAGCATAGCCTTCAGCCTTAGGGAAAGCAAAATGGTTGGGCAGTTCCTTCTGAGGTTTCTGAAAGACCCACAAAGCCCAACTTCCCCCCCCCAAACACACCTTTGGCTTCTTCTTAGTTACCAACTCAGTAACAGTCTTTGCCTGAACTTCAACCTCCTTAAAGGCAAACTTAGGATCAAAGAATTTACTGTCCACCTTGTCAGGAGCCAAGAATCCTAAAATGGTAAGATACATTTTAAAATATGCTTTGGTAATTAGAAAGCTGAGCCAAGAGAAGGAAGTGATGCCCACCCTGGCAGACTACAAAGATTTCTGCAGATTCATGGCGAGAGGCTTGGGGCTTGGTGGCCTGGACACGGCGGAACAGCTGCTGAAAGATCCACAACAGAGGCTGATAATCACGGGAACGGAAAACCTTTGTGATGAAGCAGCCACCACGGGCCAAAAAATCACAAGCCAGACGCAGAGCCATCAACGTCAAGTGGGCTGTGGGATAAAGACAGATAGTGAAGATCTCTTTATGATCTCGAGGGCATGCCACTTCCATCTCTACCCTCATCAAACCCACTCTGCACACCTTGTGAGTAAGCATCATGGACCCAACTAGCCCCAACATTGGGGGCCCCATCGTTGAGCACAACATCCACTTTCCAGGTCTTTAGCTCCTTTCTTAGTGCCTACAAAGGAGAGGCATTATGGCAACAGAAAACACAAGAATGAGTAAAGAACAGACAATTCCCCAGTCCAGTGATCTGTCCACCCAGTCATCTATTGAGTAGCTAGCACAAACAAAATACTGTGTCAGGTACTGGAAATTAAACAAAGCTAATACATTTCCATCTTTCTGGAACTTAGAGTGTAACAGTCCACTGGAAAGGATTTCACCCCTGACTAAATAAGGATAGAGTGGACATTAGGAATGTCACATACTTATATTGATGTCATGCAGACATCTGCCCAGAGCATAGTAAATATTGTACTTAGGAAATTCGGAAGCAGTGAATATTTGTACATATAATGATAGAAAGAGAAGAATTCCTATTACCTGCCTACAGCGTTCTGTAGTGATGTCCTCCTGAAGAGTCACTACATTGGGTAGAGGCTTGATTGGAACTAGGTCCACTCCTGGAAGAGATCAGGTCAGAGTACTCAACCAGCGAGGAAAGAAATGCAGAATAATTAGTACCTCCTGCTCCCTAAAACGTCCAGTAGGGCACCAGTTACTCACCTACAATAAGACTGGACACAGGCATAAACTTGGCGGCCACTTGCAGCCTATTAAAGAAATAGAGATTAAAAACCTAGAATTGTCCCTTTTCCCCTGGCAATGTGATCCCTCACCCTTGATGTCAGAGTCTGGCCAAGTGTAGTGGCCAAAGGCATCTGCAATCAAGAAAGGAAATAGCCCACCCAAGGTTTAGAACGGACTTTGCTGCTCGGGAATATAGAGAAATGTGGGGCTAGAATTACTGCACTGGGTTGGGGGTGGGGAAGACCCAAAATCCAACCCTCTCCTTAGCAGACAATTGTAAACCATTCAGGGCCGTGAAACTACTACCAGGAATTACTGCGCTGAGTGTTACATACCATCCTCCTGGCGCGGCACACAAATCCAGTAAGGCTCGAGCTTTCTGTAAGAACTGAAAGCGGCGATTGAGCTGGATCAGCTTGAAAGCAGAGCGGGAACGATAACCTGGGAGGCAGGAGGATGGCGACAAAATGACGACTCGTGAAACGCTTTTCTAGCGGGATTTCTCCAGCTTCGTAACCCACCACCCATTCTGCGGAAATGGAGCCCAACATTTGGAAAGGCGAAGGCCACCAAAGTCGTTCTTAGTTCGCTCACAGCACGAAGCCTAACTCACCAGTCTCCTTTGCCAAATGATAAAACTTGTCCCGCCGGCTTTTGCCAACTTTGCCCTTCTTGCCCATGGTAGAATGGGAGAATGTCACTCAATCTAAAGAGAAAGTAGAAATTGAGGTGGTCTTCTAAGTACTAGATTCTGCTTCCATTACCAACTTCACACAGCAATCACACTCCAAAACTTCTACCCAGAAGCTTTTTCGTTACAGAGGAGCACATGTAGGCTACTTCCGCTTCCGCTCGCGCTCCCGGCGTCCCTGGCCCCAAATTTTTCTCCATCTTGAATGTGGCCTTAAATGTTGTTGCACCAAGCCTTACAAATTGAAGAAAGTGACTAGGGAGGGAGATTATAATATGTAAACACTGAGTTTCTAGAAAGCAACAATTAGGTGATATACTCATTTCTTCCCCAAACTCATCCCGAGAATCCATCCCTCCCATCATGGCCCCTATAATTTATTGTTTTCGCGACACACCCCGCCCATTGACCCGGAACTCTCTCTGCCGCGTCTTCCGGCTGAAACTCTGGTTTCTGCGCCTGCGCGCTAAGGTTGCTCGGATGCCGGCGGTCTCTATTGAAGACGGAATATGGCGCTTGACGGGCCAGAGCAGGTATGGCGGCTGTGGCAGCGGCAGCCGGGCGGAGACCGGGCCTGGGGACGAGTCGTGTGTGACCTGAGATGGCGAGCGGGCTGGGACAAGAGAGTCGGGTGGGTCGGGGGTGTAAGTGGACCAATCCAGACTGGGCCTTGCCTGAAACTGGATTTGCTGTGTCAGCGCCTCCCGCGGTGAGTCAAGGCAGAGCCTTGTACTAAATGGAGTGAGAAGAGCCTTAGGAGCCGGAGGTTAAGTGACTGTTTTTTTCTTTCTGACTCGATCTATAGTAGTTAACACTTCGGTCTGTATGGCACTTACCAGATTTCTAAGGACTCCCGTGTACGTAGTCTCTCGGGCTCCTAAAAACCTTGAGATGGCCGGTGTTTGTGTTCATTTAAATTTTAATCACGGAAAAATGGAGTTTCAAAGGAAAGGAGTGAAGGAATAGAACCCAGATATTAACCATCGGAAGTCGGAGCTCTTAACCACGCAGAGCTGCCTGATGTTGAGCCGTATGGTGAAATGCCCTGAAAGTGGCTTTATTCTGAGTGTTTAGTTTCCTGTTTAATAACTACACTGTGTCTTCAGATGGAGCTGGAAGAGGGAAAGGCAGGCAGCGGACTCCGCCAGTACTATTTGTCCAAGATTGAAGAGCTTCAGGTGAGGACTAACTCTAACAGGGATCTAGGAGGGGATGAGGACTGGCAAGATTTTCTACAATAGTGCAGTGAAAGAAGCTATTTCCCTATGTGTGTTTTGGGGTTTTTGTTTTTGTTTTTTGAGGCAGGGTCTTGCTGTGTAGCCTAGGCTGGACTTCCTGGTCTATTTTCCTATTTTATTTCTAGTACTTAGTAAGAAGTAACAAGTAGCTGAGCGTGGCAGCACAGTCTAATCCATGCACTTGAAAGGGAGAGACAGAAGGATCACTGAGGTGGAAGCCAATCTGGGCTGTTTAAAATCAGCCTGAACTACTTAGTGAGACCTGTCTCAAAAAACAAAAACAAAAAAGACCACGTAGTGTGAAGTATATGAGTGTAACAATCCCTTGTTACCCTTGAGAACTGAGTGTGGTGGTGCACACCTGTAATTTCAGCACTGTGGAGGCTGAGGCAGGAGGATCACTGTGAGTCCCAGGTCAGCCTGAACTACACAGTAAGGCCCTGTCTCCAGGGGGGAAAGAAAAAAAAACTTGTTAATCCTTAACCCATCCCTGTAAGTAAAGGCAGTAGTATTCACATGTTGTTAGTTAGATTCTAATAGAACAGGTCACTAGCCACGGCTGAAACCCTGTGGGAGAAGTATCAATGCAGGAGTTTCTTTTAAAAAGGGGAGACATGGACTCAAGAGATGAGACTAGGGTTAGGTGAAATGCAACTTGAGGAGGAACAGCACTGTGGAGACTGAGTAAAGGAACTGGGCATCTAAAATAACAATAATAATAATATAATGTGTGAGGAAAGACAAAAAAATAAAGCTCCATGTACCCTTATAGTTATTATATTGGATTTATATTTTTGCAGTACTGAAGAGCAAACCAAGGGCCTTGTGTATGCTAATTTTCTTTTTTCTAGAATGAGTGAGTTGAACCCAGGGCCTTACATGTACTAGGCAAGTATTCTGCTACTGAGCTATATCCCTAGTCCTATACTTCATTTTTAATTGACAGCTGCTGAGCTAGAACTTAATTTCCTACCTAAAGATCATTCCACTTTGGCATGTTGCCTCACTATAAGAAAGTCAGTGTGCATATCCCAGCACTCGGGAAGCTGAACCAGGAAGATCACAGGTTCAAGTCCCATTTGGACAACTTAGTGAGACCATCTCAAAAACTGAAAACAACAAAAAAAGAGGTAATGTAGTTAATTGTTAAAGCCCTAAATTCAGTAGCTGGTACAAAATAAAGGAAAGCTACTACAATATGCAAGCTGTTAGCACTTCCCAAGCAGCCTTTTGTGATAGCTACCCCAAGGCTCTAAAGAGACCCTTAAAAGAACAGGGTCATTAGGATCCTGTTGGAGAATCTGAACATAGAGGCACCAATGCCCTTCCTGCAGCTTACATCTGCCTATGAAGGTCCTGGCCAAGATCCTGCCTTCTAGCTACTTTCTTTGAGTAACAAAATTTCTCTCCTGCTTTCCACAGTTGATTGTGAATGATAAGAGCCAGAACCTTCGGCGGCTGCAGGCACAGAGGAATGAGCTAAATGCAAAAGGTCAGAGGGATAAGATGGGAATCTGCATGTGGGCAGTTCTGAAGTCGGGCAGTTCTGAAGTCTGGCTATTCCTAATCTCCCAAACCTGCATTCTCATAGCAGTGTTTCCTCCTAGTCCAAAGCGATGCTTTACACCATCATTATGTAGTTGTTTCCTATGCTTATCTCTTATTTAGAGTTGCATCGTAAATTTTTTCTTTTCTGCTTAAAAGAAAATGCTAAAGATAGGTAAAAAGCAAGGGGAAAAAAGAGAGGGAGATGAAGAGCGAGGTAGTGTGTGTATGACAGAAAGAGACAAAGGGAGAGCAGAAGGGGAGAGAAAGAAAGGGAGGTAGAGAGGAAAACCTGGGAGCCTAATGGCTCAGGAATCCTGGACAGCATCATGCCCTGCTGACATGCCGGAGCGGACTGGGTAGAGCTGTCTGGCCTGTTTGCTGCCACTGTAGGTGGCCTTAGGTTGCCTTAGGTCTCAGGGAACAGTACCTCCTACCCCAGTCTCCTGCTTTGTCATACTGGGAATTGAACCCAAGTCTGCACTGAGCTGTTTCCCCATCTCTTTTATGTTTTGAGATGGAGTCTTACTAAGTTGCCCATGCTGGACCAGAAACTGTGATCCTGCTGCCTAAGCCTCCCAGAGTGCTGGGATTACAGTATGTGCTGGCTACTGTTCCCAGCTTACTATGGAGTCACTTGCTCCACACAACTCCTGTGTGCCTTGAGTTTCATTGTAACTCCCTTTGGGATGTGAGTGTGTGTGTGTGTGTGTGTGTGTGTGTGAGAGAGAGAGAGAGAGAGAGAAAGAGAGAGAGACTTCAAAATTTCAACATGGTGCTCTACTTAGTGTATGTTGAATTAAATCCCCAGGGAGGGGACACCAAAGGAGAAACTAGGTGACCAGTGTATCTGTTTGCCATCTAGTTCGCCTGTTGCGGGAAGAGCTACAGCTGCTACAGGAACAGGGCTCCTATGTGGGTGAAGTAGTCCGGGCCATGGATAAGAAGAAAGTGTTGGTCAAGGTAAAGGCAACATGACCCCAAGAACCATCCTGCCACCCACTGCTTTTCCACCCTGTATATAGCCTCGAGGACAGTGTTCTGTTATGTTATTCTAGAATCCCAAGGTTCTTCGATTTGGTGATTTAAGAAAGGTCATGAGCCCTTGTTTCTTCAGGTACATCCTGAGGGCAAGTTTGTCGTGGATGTGGACAAGAACATCGATATCAATGATGTGAGTGTAGTAGGTGAGTGGGGGTTGGATCAGCTGTTGGTGTTCCACTACCTGAAATTTGCTGCCTCCATCCAGGTGACACCCAATTGCCGGGTGGCCCTAAGAAACGACAGCTATACTCTGCACAAGATCCTCCCCAACAAGGTAGACCCTCTGGTGTCACTCATGATGGTGGAGAAGGTGCCAGACTCGACCTATGAGATGATTGGTGGATTGGACAAGCAAATCAAGGAGATCAAAGAAGTAATTGAGTTGCCCGTAAAGCACCCTGAGCTCTTTGAAGCCCTGGGCATTGCGCAGCCAAAGGTGAGGACTAGGCTTCTGTGAGCATCCATACAGGCTGGCTGTACTTACTCCTGTCCTGGGCCAGATTGAGTGCTGGGGTTTGGATAGGCTGCAGGCTACTTGGGCTGTCCTTTCTGTGGAATAGCACCAGCTGGGGGAGAGCTGTTTCCAAGGCACTAAACTGGTTTACATACAAGCTTTAGAGAGAAGCATCCATAACCTCTTGCCTAGGAATCAAGCATAACACTAGTACACAGTAAAATGTTCACTGAATGAAGTAAAGCCAACTTTCTACCCTGAGTCCTACTGTTTTCCTGTAGGGAGTGTTGCTATATGGACCCCCGGGCACCGGAAAGACACTGTTGGCCCGTGCTGTAGCTCATCATACAGACTGTACCTTTATTCGTGTCTCTGGCTCGGAATTGGTACAGAAATTCATTGGGGAAGGTAATTGTGGCTAGGAATGTGGGAACCCAGGAGAAGGGTAGAGGGTGAGAGGCTCATTAGCTTCTAATGCCAGCTGGGTCTGCACAGGGGCAAGAATGGTGAGAGAGCTATTTGTCATGGCACGAGAACACGCCCCATCTATTATCTTCATGGATGAAATTGACTCCATTGGCTCCTCTCGGCTTGAGGGGGGCTCTGGAGGAGACAGTGAAGTGCAGCGCACGATGCTGGAGCTACTCAACCAGCTAGATGGCTTTGAAGCCACCAAGAATATCAAGGTAAAGTGGTGTAGGCCTAAGGACAAGCCAATATGGAAGGCCTTGGGTGACATGCCTCAGGTGACATGCGTGCCAATACCATAGCTAACTCTCCTTTTCTCTGATCAGGTTATCATGGCTACTAATAGGATTGATATCCTGGATTCTGCATTGCTTCGCCCAGGACGCATCGACAGAAAAATTGAATTCCCACCCCCCAATGAGGAGGTCTGTGATGGAT